GTGTGGGTGTGGGGTGTGGATGTGGGTGGTGTGGGTGTGGGGTGTGGGTGTGGGGTGTGGATGTGGGTGGTGTGGGTGTGGGGTGTGGATGTGGGTGGTGTGGGTGTTGGTGTGGGTGGATGTGGGTGTGTGTGGGTGCGGGTGCGAGTGTGGTGGGTGTGTGGATGTGGGGTGTGGTGGGTGTGGGATGTCGCTGTGAGTGTGAATGATTAAAGGACTAATAGCCACACCTGTGGGCACCGTTTAAGGGACACAACCGTTTAAGGGAAAATATAAGCACCATTATAGAGGCACATGGAATCATTTAATGGCGACCGATTTAGCACAAAAATCTAGCCATAAATAGAATATATGGACTTTTGAAAAATAAAATTATGTATTATTACTTCTATTTTTATCATAATATATTCATTTTGAGATTTTTAAGATCACATTTAAATGCTCAACTTATGCTACCAATTTACTCCTGTATTTTGATTGAGATATTTGTTTAGTGCCGAATTCAAGTCACGCTATAAGATAAGTCGACTTGTCTCATGAGATAACTCGAAATATTAATAACTTGCCAAAACCTACGATGCGACTTATCTCATAGGACAAGTCGAGTTATCTCATAGGATAAGTCGAAATAATACCTAACCGAGTAAAAATGCTTCAGTTCAAAGAAGCGACTTATCCTATGAGACAAGTCGACTTACCCTATAGCATAAGTGAAAATAATAAGTGAACCAGTATCAATGTCTCAATTGAAAATATTGACTAATCCTATAGGGTAAGTCGACTTGTCTCATAATATAATCCGAAATTTTGGCAAAATGGAATATCTCGATGACAATCTGCATCTATTTAAATTTATAAAAAAATTCTGTACTAAATTATTCTTTTCAATTATTGACATATTTTAATAAGTAATATAATACAACACGATGTGTTCCAAGTCATGTAACCAATCAGATTAAACATGTGTGCCTCTATAATGGTGCTTATATTTTCCCTTAAACGGTTGTGTCCCTTAAACGGTGCCCACACACACCCACACCCTACTACTACATACAAATGCGCGCTTGTTGCGACAACAATGGAATGCTTCGATATTTTCACCAACGTTACTACCACGGACAAAATTAACGCAACACGTATTTTTGATAGACATTTTCATTGACGGTCGACAACGAAAAATATAAGTTTTTCAGAAATCTTTTTCGTCTATAGAACTTTGTAGAGCTCGTTTCGCTGATCATTTTGGTAAAAAAAAATATTCAAATTTACTCGATAAATAACAAACCTTGGCTCAGAATACTCAGAAATACCACCTACTGCTCAGCAGTGGTCACGAACAGTCCTAATTTTTGAATATTTTGACTCTAATGTCATTATTTATTGAGTAAATTTGAATATTTTTTTTACCAAAATGATCAGCGAAACGAGCTCTACAAAGTTCTATAGACGAAAAAGAATTCTGAAAACCTTGTATTTTTCGTGGTTGACCATTACTGAAAAAATCTATTAAAAATACATGTTGCGTTAATTTTATGCGTGGTAGTTAGAGCTCATGTGAGTAAAATTTGAATAGAAAATTACTAAACGTGACATTCGAAATTTCAAGTGCTAACAAATAAAAATGTTTTATGACATAGTTTTGCATCTTGACTGTGAATATAAGGTTAATTTTTGATAAAAGTCTAGATATGTTGTTTCCTATGGAATTTGCCTCTCTATTAGTCTAATCTTTTTCGTTAATATTTCCAATGTCGAATATCAGATTTAGTAATTTTACATTAAAATTCTACCCACAACAAAAAGTAGATAAACAAGAAAATTTTAAGCATTCAAAAAAGTTTAATTAATGGAAAATATGTGGATAGTTTCAAAGATATCTTATGAATAATAGAAAAAAGACGACTTTCAACAAAAAGTAATTGGCTTTTCACATAGCACTAAACTGCTAAATTTAATAGATGATATAGCTCTTTGAACTTAATCATTGGTGAAAATGTCGAGACATTTCATTGTTGCCACATAAAACGCACGCGACTGGCATTTTGCTAGCAAAATGTTTTAGTTTCTTCCTTTGCTATTTTTATTACATTGATACAAAAAATCATGGATTTTTTCAACTTTATTGTGTTATCTATTGGTATATTCTACCTCTCTCTCTAACGTCTGATAGATAATATACCTGTTGTTCCGATGTGAAAATCATCAGATTTAATCGTCATAAATAAACTTCTGTATATAACAACATCTATCGGACACTTTTTTAGGCTAGACACTCACAAACTCGTTTTTGTGACGTACTCAAAATGACTTCGATAAGAGGAAATTCACCAGAGATACCTACTAGCTTAAAAATTTGAAAAGTACTGATAGGAATTTACTAATAAATATGATGATGAACAATTAAAAAAATATGCTTGCAAAATTCTTGATCGTTTACAAAATAAGCGTTCTTCACTTGCTATTTCATTTTAAGTTTACATCATACCATGTTAAAGAACTAACGAGGAAACCATGGCAACTTGAAAATATCTTTGGAATTCGAATCATATGCATAAGGTTAATTCCAAAACGACAAGGGTTCATAGACTTTTCCTACAAAGCTACAACTATTTTACTGAAATTTTAGACTTCAGTACTGTATGTACATAAGGATGGAATAATAATATTATGAACTAAAGTTTCGTCCATGGAGAGATCTACTGGTGACTAAAATGTCCTGAAAGTTTCAGCTCAAAAGATTGTTCCTGTCATGAGATATTGAAATCTTAAAAAAACATGAACTTCCCCAATTTTTCGTGGAATATGAGTGATTTGTACTAGTTGAATATCTCAATTATAAATAAGCCTATCTGTAGGCAAAGTTTCAAGTTAAATTATTGCCATTCAATTCTTGTGTGCATACCATACTAAAGTTTAAAATTTCAGTAAAATGGCTAAATATTTTGTAGGGAATACGCAAGAGTTCTCATCGATTTAGAGTAATATCAGCACTAATCTATCAGGTGTAGTCTAAGATGCTTTGCACATCTTTTAGAATTGATTGTTTTTTCGATGAATTTCAACTAGTCGACACGACAGAACAGTGAGAGAAATAGAAAGAGACAAAGGATGGATTCGAACATTTGATCCGGCAGTATTCGGCATTCGACAGCAGAGATGTCCATCGCGGCTGAAAATCTGCCGCTGCCGCGCCGCGGCCTTAGAAAAAGAAAGCTGCCGCACCGCTGCCGCGCCGCGACGGTTTATAAAGAAATGTTGCCGCGACGCTGCCGCACCGCGATGACTTATAAAAGAAACGCTGCCGCGCCGCTGCCGCGATGAATTATAAAATAAACGTGCCGCCACCGCGCCGCTGCCGCGACGGTTTTCAAAAAAGTGTTTCTAATTTCACTGCTGTGACTATATTTGACCAGAGATATGGGTACTAGTCCATCAGATTTATTCAATATCAGGGCGTTTCATTTGTAAATCCTGAAATTCTATTAAATTCATACAGTTTTTCAATGTTCTCCAAAAAAACCCTGCCGCTGCCGCGCCGCTGCCGCGATGGTTTTTTAAAAAACCTGCCGCTGCCGCGATGACTTTTTAAAAAATCTGCCGCTACCGCGCCGCTGCCGCGGTGATTTTTTAAAAAAACCTGCCGCTGCCGCGCCGCCACCGCCATCGCGGCAGCGGCGCGGCAGCGGCAGCGGCAGCGGCAGCGCCGCGATGGACATCTCTGTTCGACAGGTCTTATGATATATAATTGAAAATAATCGAAGACAAGCTTTTTGACTAGTCTGAAATGTCGTCAACATATTTAACGATTTTCGATTTTTATAAGTTTCATCACAAGTAGCAGATAACTTTTTAGTTTTGTTTACCTTCATATTAAAGAGTTTATTGAAGCACTAAAATGTATATAAAAATACCTAATATTGTGATTACTTCTCGACAAATATTGTCTACGAATGTTCTTTAACATTTATTCGACTGTAAAGTAAATTAGAACTAATTTAGTTGAAAAAAAATTTTATACCTTTATGCAATATTTTCATTGTAGTTTAAATACTAAATTTGAATATTTAAATTTAAAAAATATATAAATTGTATAATTTCGGTTTGTTTTTTATTTCAAATTGCTAGTGAACAGGCATCGAGACGTTAAATTACCTCAGTTATATGTAAGCCGAATTTTTTTTCTCGACTAAATATAGATAATGAACATTAGTAGATTGCATGTGTCAATGGAACTGTCCTTAATTTATATGAAACTTATGAAAAGATTAAGTCAGCATTATCAAGTGTTCAAATGAAGAATGCACCACGAAATTTTGAAATCATCTCTGTTTATTGCATTTCTGAATTTTGTTTTAAGATCGCGCTAACTGTAGAACTAATAATCTTAGACAATATATTAAATAATGAACATTATGATATGTGAAATTTCTTGATGATAATAATAACACTTGTGAATTCATGTATCAAATATATATTGATAGGAGTCAATTTGATTATTATGCTAAAGATTAATTTATTTCTAAATATCAATCTAAAACATAAACAACATGATCGGTACATATATCATGTGGAATGATCAACACTTGAAATATTACTGTTGAATGTAAAGTAACATTAAATATAAATTCACTTCAGTTAACTAATGAAGAAATATTTTTTTAATCTATATAAAAGCACATATATTGAATTCTCAAATGAACCTCATTAAAAAAAGTGCTCATTTTCAACTAGTCATCTATTTTTGGTCGATTAAATAATTATAATCCTTTGAAATTTCATATCATTTTACATCTCTATTTATTTCTAAATAATCATAAGAGCTTCTTACCTAAATATTAACACTTAATAAAGTGCATATGATATTTCAAAAAATAAATATTTATACTTTTCTTTATTTATTATTTGTTAAATCAGAACAAAAATTAAAAGAAAAATATTCAATATATAATTATATGATATTTTGCCCACATGGAGCATTTATTCAGAGCCATATAATGCAAAATGCATTAAGATTTTTGATCTTTTCTTTTTTGACTTATGGCTGTTCTATGATTGTTTTTTTGATCTTGTGCATAACCATATCGAGAAAAATCAAATAACATAATTTCGAGCTAAAATTTTGTCTATAAATAGATCAAATTGTCATTAGATTATCTAAAAAAATTTCTACATAAACAAATGTTCTTTAATATCTTATGAAGATAACATTTGTTTATGCTAAAAGATGTTAGAATAATCCAATGATAACTTGATCTTTATTTGCAAACAAAAATTTCAGTTTGAAATTATATGACTGAGTTTTTCTCGAAAGAAAGTTATGCTTAAGGTCAAAAGAATCCTATAAAATGATCGTAATTCGAAAAGAAAAAGTCGGAAATTCAATTTATTCTTGGGATTATATAGATCTGACTCAGACTTTCATGTAAACATAATATGACGTCAAAAACAGTTTTATCTACAAACGAATTCTCTCCTACATGCCATAAATAGAAAATATTTTTAAGCAGATTTTTTTTTTGTTTTGAAACAATGAAGCGATAACTATCAATATAAAAATTTAATTATTTTCTTTTGTTATTTAGATTAATTATAAATATACATTCAGTAGTAAATATTTGTTTGTAAAATAAATTATATTCTTCATTTCTTTACAATAATTGCAACTTCAATTTCATTCGTAAGTATGATTTCACAAAATAAATTACATTTTTTTTGTATTTAGATTAATAACAACAACAAGAACAACTACTTCAACAGTAAGTATAATTCTTAAAAAATTGTATTTTTCTATTTATGAAAAAAAAAATCTATCCTTAAATTCACTTATGACAAGTCACTAGCAAAATGACACGGAACAATAGTTAACTATAGTTGTCATTGTCGTTATAGGTTTCTAAGAAAATCCCTAAATAATCTCTTTTGTGATTCCTTATTGAATTTTTTTAATGATTTTCTTCTGAATTTTTCATACAAAACGCACTAGAGTTAGTTAATCGTTCGTTTAATAAACAAACTTATAGATTAATCTCGATTTTTCTTAATGAAAATTCTCAATGTAGATGATTTAGTCTCATAATAATCGAGATTATAAATCACATAACTTTTACATAATGATAATAACCTGGATTAATGTTAAAGTATTTATCAACCTTCATCAAGTTTCATTCATTATCATAATTTATCAAAAAGTTTTTTTTTGACGTTTTTGAATCTTTTTCTGTTAATATGAGTTTCTCATGTCTGATTAATTGCATTATGAACGACATGCACACCGTTTAGGGAGAAGTGACAGGATGTTAAGTCTGATGATTATGTTACAGATGTCACGTTGTATTGATGCTTGTTTTTTTCTGTTAGATGATTAATAACATTCTTATAAAGTAAGAAGACGACTTGTATCACCACAGAATTTAGTACTTTTCATATTAGATGATATTTCTTGTTTACATATTTCATTTCTATAAAACTAATCAGAAAACAGAAACTTGCCACTATAATCATATGCCTTTTAGTGAACTTTTTGATTAACGTTTTTTTGATTTACTTAAGAGAAACATAGGCTTTAGGCAATAGTCAATAAAATAACTATGATCGATAGTTGTGCTTTTTATTACTGCTATGTCATGAACATTTTTTTTTAAAGAATATATAAAATGCAGTATTTGACCCATCATTTTAATCTTAACAAACATTAAATGATTCACACATTGACAATAATATAATGTAATTGTTGTGAATTTTTTTTCAACATAACTTCCAGAAGCCGTTGAGAAAACTTATGATATTAAACTAAATTAATTTCTATTTCTAATCAGTTCTATTGATATATTAAACATTAGCACAACATATGTAGATGTTACTTCACCAAATCAACAACAGGTGGTATGCATAAATAGATCTGAACTGTTTCAAGACGGGAAACTTCTCTATACATTAGAAAAAAAAAATTTTGTATGGTTATATTTTTTCTTCAAAATCAGTACCAAAAGATTAAGTATTGCTTTCATTTTGTTAATGGAAATTGAATCGGAAGCATATGAGAAAATATTTATTGATTAAATACAAAAAGTTCTCATTTACGTTCATAATTATGTATTAACATAATATGAGGCTATTTGTATCAGATGAAGGTATTTAGTGTTATATACCTAATTTCAAAATAATTGCATAGATTTTATGCTAAAGGTAAAAATAACTCAATGCAATAGCTTTTTTTTTCTCATCTTTCTCAATTCATGAAAGAAATAGGATATGTTCAAACAACTGCGTGTAGTAATTCGTTAAATAATTCGAGATAAGACAAGAATTTTTTATATTTCATGCTATATCTAGATACTTTATAAAAGCTTTAAACTTACTAAGTAGGTTGTATTTATAGAAATATATAGCGTTCATATATCATGCTTGTCTGATGTTTGAAAAAAAATATGAATAATAGAACAGGAAAGAGAAGAAAAATAGGAAAAAAAACTATTGTCACACTATAAATGTAGAACCATTTTACTTTCATTAAGATATTATTTGAAAGCCATGCTTTCCAATGAAACGAATCCATTATTATGGCCATGTCTTCGTTCAATACGTTTTATTACATGGAGTGTTCCATGTAATTTATGCCGTTTAGGTGGTTTAATCATTTTAACTATATCAATTCTTTGTTTTATATTTAATATACGTGTTTTATGTTTTCAACGATGTCAAAATAGTCTTGTTATTTCATTATTCTTAGCATCTCTTCTGGTTATAACTATAAGTGTTCCAGGTGTACTTGTCCAATTATTTACATGTCATCGTCATTGTATAAATATGTATTGTCGTATTGAAGGTTTCGTCTCCTATTTATCTGGTTGTTTATGCATGTTAATTTTTACGATATTATCAATTCATCGATATTTATCTTTATGTTCGTATGATCGTTTTTTATCATATCGATGTTCAACATTGATTTCTTGGTTTTTAAGTATTGCATTTACATTTCCATTAATGTTTGGTTATTTAAATTCTTATTTACCTGAAGGACTTGGTTTTCATTGTAGCATTAATTGGAAAGATAAATCAAATTTAGGTCGTTTATATATACTTTCATCGTTTGTTCTCATGTATCTATTGCCATTAGTTATTCTTCTTTTTGTTAATATTCGAACTCATTTACTTGTTCGAAATATTTATTCAAAAAATTGTTTAAATTCATCATTTTCAAGATATGTCTATCGAAGATGTTCAATAAGATTAAATCGACAAGGAAATGATTATGATAAAATCTATGTTCATAAATATTGTGTACGGAAAGCTACGGATCTAAAACGTTTTCGTATGGATTATCGATTTTTACGAGCTATTGTATTTCTTGTTAGTAGTTATTTAATTGCATGGACACCTTATTCAATAATTGCAGTTTTACAATTATTAGATATAAAATTTATTTTTCAACATGCTTTTTTAATAACACTATGTGCTTTTATTGCCAAATTATCAGTTATTTTAACACCATTTGTATATTTAAGTATTATGAATTACAAATTTTTAAAAAAAATTTTATTCAAATAAAATATTAAAGAAGAAACGATAGACTTCTTTTCTTCATTGTTGAATGAATAGTTCATTTGAGAAAAAAAGGAAAGAAAATATTTTTTAATGCTTTAAAATGTCGTGTGATACTTTTTTCCGAATGAAGTAATAAAAGATAAAAGATAAAATTTACAATGTAGTATCGTAACCAGAAAAATATTTTCAAGGGACGCTGAAAGCTTTTTAGACGCCGCTGTCTCAAGTCTTTATTTCTAGGTTCAGGTTTGATTGCACCACTATTTTATATATACTTGTTTTTCTCGTATTTATTAAAAGAAATCTAAATTTTTTGACGTTATGAAATATTGCTACCTAGATTCTTCGTGTATGCTTAAAACAATATATGTTTTAGTCTCGATATAAACTCTGCAAACCTTTCGATGACTAAAAGATTGTTTCTATTAATGTTTTAAGTAATGATATATACAAGATTTGATTAGGTTAATTGTGGATTTGTATTTTGTAAATTTCAATAGAATCAACGACATGAAATATCATTTAAATTCTTTTTATTTGTTTTGTTGTCGATTTTTCCTTTTTTTCTTCTTTTAATACGTTTTTATCTCTATCTACTTGTCTCCTTAATAAAAAAAATGAATGAAGATTGTGCAAAAGCGTTATTATATTGCAATAAAAGAAATGACGACAATATAGAATTAACTATTTATTAATTTATGCTAATATATTATGTTTTCATGATATTATTTTCATATATATTAATGCATTTGAGTCTTTATTATGAATACTGATTGTCACATGTTTCATAAAACTAAAATATCCTTTTGAAATATCCAAACAAAGTACTTTAATTCATTTTGAATGGACATGTTTTTTTGAAAAGATGCAAAAATTATGATTTCTTTTAAATAAAAACCGGAAATGAAGGATATACTTCTAAAGAAACAACGAGTTTTCATGAAGAATCATCAAACTTCATGAAATTCTATAATTGCATATTCAAATAAAATAATGCAAAGTTTTTTTTGAATCCTGTAGCGAGATTCCTGTAGAATCTCAAAACCTCATATTATAATATAGATTTGATAAATTCTAACATCTAACGGTTTATCATATTGGATCTTTAGCATTAACTGTAAACCTATTGGACAACAACGTTCCTAGAATTCCATGTGATTTGATGAGGCTCTACAAGACTTAGTGTATTATTTAATCATGTTGCGATACTAGGGATACAAAAGGAATGAGAAAATATTCTAATAATTCAGCGAAGATTGAAGATCATACAAGTTACTATCTATGCAAAATATAAAAAGTTATATAGATGTTTTTTGGGTCAACAAATAATTAAAAACATTTGTGTTCATTCTGTCTTTTCACCATAAAAATTGAAATTTTGTTTTATGCTATTTATACATAACAAAGAAGACGGACAACTAACTTTATAAACAGTGCAGTCTTTTTTTTGAATGCTAAAAGCTGTAAAAGAAAAAGCTTTTTGTTTTCTATTAAGAAAAACTATATAATTAGGATCTTGATATAAAATAGTCAAATAATGGATAACAGTGAAAAAAAAAACATAAAAGGAAAATGTCAATATGACGAATCTGTTTCTCATGGCTGATGATAAATATTGTCATACAGTATTTCATATGAATCATTTCGCATAATTGATAGAAACTGTCCAATCGATGATCACTAATTCAGCTAGTTTTTATGAAACACGATCTACGGAAAGTGTTGAAGTATAGGAATAGAAACCTGAAATCCTCACCTCTGAAGATGCAACACCCATATTAGCAACGAGTTATTACAAACGTGACAGACACAATCATAAAAACGTCATAGACCATGCTAAATACTTTTGACATAGGATTAAAGACCGTATATAAATACCGTCTCATTATAATATATGAGCTCTTTCCTTATTGCATTTCTCGAGGATAAAGTAAACGGATGATGAAGAAATGTGCCCTGAAATAGATAGAGTAAAATAATTTTGATGTGATTAGCAACAGAAGCTACATCATGATTCACATTTGTGATCTTGCAAAAATTGCGTTAATAATTTTTTCTTATACGTTACAGAAGGGAATGTTTGATAAATGTTTATGTCAGTTGTTCGAAGAAAATATTCTCTTTCTCTCAAGATATTTAGATGTTAATAAGAATCTTATCAAACATATATTCATTAGATCAGAAATTTTTATGATATGTAAAATCTAGAGTAAAATTTGTAGTATTGAAGTTGAATTAGTAGTTTTTTGAAGTATAAAATGGGAATTATAAAGCCACATAAGGATTGACGTAGGATGTTGTAGAATCGACTAGATAGTCTTATTAGAAAAGAAGTTTCAAGATTAGCTCTTATTCATACATAATATATATAGATGCTCGAGTTCATTTAAAAGTTAATAGAAACAAACTTTTATCATATGAAATAAATATCTATATGTTGTATCAATTAGCATATGGTTCTCTATTGACTGACATTATAAAATTTTTCTCATTCTAAACTTGAATGTCAGATAGGAGTAGGTTCACAAGTGTTTCTTTTGCTCTTGCCTACACATTTTAAATCTAGCTTCTGGATAACTCGATGAAATAACTTACAGCACGAATCTCTATGTGGTTCGACGGATATTTTATATTTTGAGATTAAAAAAATTCTTTTCTAAGCTTCTGTATCTATCTTTCTTACGTTTACAGTTAAAAAGCCAAATAATGATCACCCAATAGAGTATTATGTGCTGAATTTCACTAAATAGAACTTTAAAGAAACGTACCCAGGTCGAACTCATCCTGCCAGATCCTATCGGATCCGTGATTATCCGACACTTTCCGACAGTCAGATGCGATAGGATTCCGACAGTCGGAAACCTTCATTATCCGTTAATTTCCGACGTCTGATTCCGGCGACAGGATCCGATGAGATCCGATAGTCAGAAATTGTCGGATTCGATAAAATCCGATGACATGAAAGCATCTAATTTTGCCCATTCTAATTTTTTATTTTTAGATTGTTTCCAATGATAAATCAAAAAGTAAATACTTATTTATTAAAATAGTTTTTGTTTTTTATTTTAGATTGTTTCCAAGGATACATCAAAACGTAGGTATTAATGTATTTAAATAACTTTTGTTTTTTTGTTTTAGATTATTTACAACGTTAAATCGAATGAGATAGCACTGATTAGTTTGACTGGATGGCTGAATATTATTTTTATCATGCTGTTTCTATAATGTATCAGGTAACTATGACTTTTTTACCAGTTATAGTACTCGCATGATGCCATACAAGTACTATAACTGATAAAAAAAATCATATTTACCTGACACATTATAGCAATAGTATGATAAAACAGGAATTCAGTCATCCAATCAGACTAATGAGCTCCATATATATTAAGTATTGAAAAATAAAAAGCTAATGAGTGCAGCATGGGTGCTGCATGTAATATCTGGTTTGTCTATAGAAATCTAGTAGGGTCCCGTCGGAATTTATCGGATTAAGCCAGATTTCCGATAGGATCCAAACCCAGAATACTCGTCTTGGGTAGCTTATCGGAGATGCGTGAAGCGGGAATTCGTCTATACAAGTTTCTTCTCCCGTTGAAAATTGTCTACAAAACACGCTTTCTTCTAGCACTGCATCACTCTGCCTTTTGCCTTCAGTACTGAGTGACGTCTCTGAAAATTCATTTGATACAATAAAGCCTTTATGGACTTTTGAACAAATCGGCGTTAGTAGTATTAGTTGTTCTTGAGTAAAAATTTCAAAGCAAAGGAATGCACTCTGGATCAGGTGTAGGCGTAACAAAATCGATCGAAAATTGTTGTTTTTTTTTGCCAAGTACTTGGAAAAAAATTTCAATATCTCAAAAATGAAACAATATATCGTCTTTTTTTCCAAAAAAAAAACACTATAAAATAAATCAGTAAACAAGCTAGTTGATTTTATCAGATAACACGACCATGTCTACAAATTTATTGCTATATTTTCGAGCACGAATTCTAATAAATATAGCAGTGAGCACAAAGAAGCAATGGATAAAAGCAATAATAGAAAGATATTTCTATCGTTCAAGTGTGTGTAATTTTTATCAAAGTGACTCTCTGATCTTCGTCGTTCAATGTTGTATTGTGTAGATCCGTAACAGCTTCTCGTTTTATGAATCGGTGTTTTTTTAGAACTGGGTTTAGTGAATAGTTTATTTTTTGAGAATTCAGCCCTCCTATGCTAGTGCTAAATTTCCTTTAGCTTCATTCCAGTACATTTATGGAGTTCAGAAACATGGCCGTGAATGAAACAATTAGAAATGTAATGTGCAGGTTAAAATGTGATATCTGGTGGCACTAGCTCATTTAAAAAGAACTGATATGAAACTGTCATAGGTCTATTTATAAATATGATAGATTAAGTAATCCAGAATCCATTTCTAGATTAACCAGTTTACAATTAACTATTACATCATCTGAATATCATTTCCTTGAGGGTGAATTTCAAGACGAACATTTGAAAGGCTTTATCAATTCATTTGACTGTAACTATGCATTCTATAGGGAAGACAGTACATGCGTCGTGCCGAAGAATTGAACTTTGGTAGGTAGCAATGAGGTATTTTGAAAACGCTCGTTGCCAACTCTATTACTTATTGTTTGGCACATTTTAGCCGAAACTGCAAATTGACTGATAGATCTCGCCCAAAATCACACACTGTATGCTAGGTTTTTTCTAAAACTTTTTAGTCTTTTATTAGATTCTGGTAAGAGCAAAACCGTTTGCCAGAGTGTACGTGCCAACTAGATGAACAATTTCATCGACTATCTCAAACGTAGGTAGAACTCCGCTCTGGAATTCCTTCCTCATCGTTACGCCTGGTTGAGGCACATTGTGACAGTGATTATTGGATGTCGGTATGTGTTTCTGTCACTGCTTTGTGAAATTATATTCAATACAACAACGACTTTGATTAATCAAGGTTAGATCAGATTTGTTGCCAAGCACCAGTTGCTAATAAATCATCTAGAATGAATTAGTAGAAAAGTTTATTTTAGTTATTTGAATCCATTTTGATGTAGAATAAAAAATGAAAATACATCAATTGAAACATTGATGATGTTTATTCTCAAAACACTCAAATCAATCGCTTTCCATTTGATCGAAAATACATACTTGAATATGTTAGAAGTACATAAATTATGAAATTAAATTAAAACAATTTAGTTATTTTATTTGATGAACATAGTCTCTCAATTAATTATTTGAACATTGGTTTCGATAAGATGTAGTGAATACTTGTCATATAGGGACATCTATTGTTCGATTTTAATTAGTTAAATGGCCTTCTCAAATTTTATTCTATAACTAAATCGCTCACTCCGATGTTTGATTCTCGCTCATTAATAATACTTCTTTAGCTCATAGATGAAAACGTTCTTTACTCATCGTAAGATTTGACATGAGGCTCTTGATTCTTCATTGTGATCGGTTTAGCAATTATTGATGAATAAAGTTATTTTTGTCGAGTTAAAAGTGTAGCATTTAGTCTTTTCATTTTTCATCTGTCTACTGTAGATTGATAACAAATTTTTATTTTACAATAATATTTGGCTTACTATCGACATTTGAACTCAAAATAATATATCCAAGTATGCGATTGAATATTTCGAGAGAAAAAGTATTTTGTTTTGAAGATCGTTGGTCATCATTATTGTTTTTTACCTTTTATACTGACTGTATCGCTATATGTTTCAAGATTGTCGAGAAACAATTCACTAATTTATCAAAAGTTTCCAATCAAACGACTTATTTACTTTAGTTACCATTGATCTTTATCCAACACTACAACCATTACAATAGTCTTCCAAACTGCATTAACGTTGTCTTCATTAGTAGCATTGTGCTCAAATGATTTTGCAACGCTCTATCCTTACCGAAAATAACACTCTAATACATCAATCACTTCAAAGTTTCAAATCCTACGTTATTTTATTGCACAATATATGAAATATGTTAATATATTCTTTTGAAAGAAGAAATAATTTTAAAAATTATAGTATAAAATAGTTATCTATGTCAAGATGAAAGGCATACAATGCATTAGCAAACATTTTATCTATTGAAACTATGACAAAAAGCAACCGATTTATTGCTGCAATTCAGTTTGAAGGGCAGTGTGCTACATATGGGACACATTGTAGTTAATTACAGAAATTCATGAATATTAGAAACCAACAATAACAAAGAAGAAATCCAAAACATGCATATATCAATACTAGCTCTACTAATGAGATGATAAATAAAACTGAGCAGACATTAGTATGGATTTTATCGAATGATCATCTAACTGAAGAAGACCGTCATACTTCTGAAAAAAGAATATTTTACAATCGTCCTCATGCAACGAAAAGTTCTTAAATCATCTGTCAGGTTCAACATATCATCCATCATGCCTGTAGCATTTAAAAAGAAGTAATGAATTTTTAAAAATCAGATGAAGATTCGTACTATATTTCAAACAAATATCTTTTGCACCGAATTAAAAAAAATACTACAGAGAGATCTTTCGATCATGCACAAATAACAGTTAAGATAAGAAGAAATAAAAATTTGAATGAAAATACTCATGACAAATTATTATTGAATTTATCAACAAATCCATCTATTCTTATCACTACTCCTGATAAACGTCCTACTGTTAAATCATGACTGTACTGTCTCTTATGAAAACGTGTTGAAGACCTTGCACTAAAACAAAAAATGAAGAGTACTTGTGAAAATAAGAATACAAATAGATTAAATGGTTAGCTCCATTTCATCAAGATTATATGATCTGTCCAAAGTTCATAAAGTTAATATACTTTTCAGACTTATAGCGTCATATATTTAATCGCATAACTACGGATAAAATAAATTTCTACTGACTATTCTCAAACCAATATGTGATAGAGTTTCAATAGCATAATCTTTGCGAAGAAAATAACAATCAACGTAACATTAACATGAACTTATTTCATTTCCACAGCTGACAAAATAGCGTCCATGACTGCATTAGTAAACTGAGCAATTTAAATATGTTCAAAAATGGACCTAGTACATGATAGATTTTAATAGACTCATGTAATGGACAATATCAATGATTGTCTTTCTAACTTCGTGAAACAAATAACACATAAGCCACGAGACATATTATATAAATTGAAAGAAACAAAAAATGATAATAAAAACTACAAATACCTTGAAATATCATATATCAACAAATCAAATTACACATTTGCAAATAGGCGCTAACTAATCATCATAAAAAATGACTCAAAATCAGATCTTAAAGTTATCTATAACACAACAAGCAGAACAAAATGCTACTGTTCAACAAAAGATAGTCTGGCTTCTCATCAGAAATCATGAACCATATATCTAAATAACCTGCAATGATTGCAATAATACCTACATGGGGAAAATATATACGATAAACCTAAAGACGCCTATATATGAACATGAAAAAAGTGTTACGAAAAGTCACAGTATGTGCTTAGAATTCGTTTTCTCTTACACTAGCAACAAAATCAAAACATCAATAATGGTCATATTCAGAATAACGTTTCAAGTCAAGCATTACGTTCTTACAGTGAACTAATTAACAAACAAACTAAATCTCAATTATATATTCAACAAAATTACCAAGACATATCAGTACAAACTTAGTTCTACTTCCAACAAAAACATGAAAAATACAAGTCATTCTATAGGCTTTGAAGTTATACAAAGTTTAAATCAGGATCAAAAACTATATTACTTACTGAACAAAAAATCAAATTGAAATCGGCTCAAGAAAATTCGTTCTCGATGATATTGACACTTCTGTTTCACTCAATGTATTTTCTGTAGAATTGCAGAAATTCAACTATGAAGCAAGACAATACTGAAAACATTTAAAATCATTTTTAGAATATTGCAACCCATTTAAGTAAGTAGAAAATACATCTATTTTAATTTCATTTATCCAATTATTTCTTACATTCTAGTTTCTGAAACAGATGGCTATTACCTGGAAACGACCGGCGCAATTGACAGGATTTTCGCCATGCAGAAATCATCAGTACCTATTGAAATAATTTCCAAGCCATTTAAAATGAAATAAAAATACATAGTTAACTTATTCTATTGTAACATGAATCTTTCATTACATTTAAGAATATCTTTAATCACGACTATCAGAGTGAGTTTGCACCTAAATTTTTAACTCCATCAGACGTATTGCAGATGAGAAAACAAAAGTATTCGGGAATTACCTTCAGTCTTTGCAAATCCGATGGTCTCTAGAAGGAAAAATTTGGGAATTTACTATTGTAGTAACTTTTGATCTGCCCATTTAGATTTATCTACTTCCTAAAGTTTTGAAGTTTTCTAGTGAGCTATTCTTTAAAAGCGCTGTAAAGGGATAGAGATCCTCTTAAAGAACGAAAAATGTGTGGATAAATACACTACAGAAAATGTAAAACAGATATTATCAGTGATAATTGGCATCGTCTTCCATCCATAACTTTCAATTAGTACATTCTACGGCACATAAAAGAAAAAATACTTTATTGTGAAAAAACTATAACAATCTATTGTATAGGAGATGCTGTAAAACTATTTGGTTGAGCGATGAAAATACTTGAATGAGTTTTGTTACGGCTGATTTCACGTAGTTGTTGACTAAGTTCCTCGAATGTCATTAATCGAGATTCCAATGCCATTCGCATAGCCTGAAATAAATGAATTAGTTAATATTTGTTAATTTATCAAACTTACATAGCTTTGAGATGAACTATCATTAATCAGTATATGTGGTGGTATGTGATCATATTTCTTTGCTTTGAATTGAAATTTTGAAAATGGTGCATCTGTATGCCAACAATGTAAATGTAATCGATTATTTTTTTCTATATCATTTTTATCATTATTCGTTGTTGATTGATCTAACAATCCAGAACCATTTTGTATATCAAGCTTTTCTGAGTTTACTAAATGATTAACTGCTAAATGAGTGCCATACATACTTAATACACCATAATGCCAATCAGGCCATAATAAAGTTGAAAGTTTTTGTTCTCGTTCGGCAGTACAAAACTCATTCATAGATAAATGAACCATAGCATCTAAAGTTAAGTTTCCTATGCGTTGAGCAACATATGGTGATCCATACCTTTAAAAACAACATAGAAACATCAATCAGCATTTAGATACTAATAGAACTTGATAGATTAATTGCTGATTTGAAGAACAATCTTTTTTATAAGCATCATGATTTCAAAAATCAAAAGACAGAAATTTAACGATAATTGTAAGTTAATCACAATGAGTCAAATAGGAATAGATGCAGTCAAAAATAGTTTCATCAGTGATATCGATTTACTCATTCTTTCAATCGTTAAAGTTCGCTGTATACTTAAATAAGTTCTCAGCACAAACTTTTACAAAGATTAAGTGAGATGGCATGTGGATTAGCTTACCGCGAGCACAGTTCGAATAGAACACGATTGGTGTAGTAATTCAAATATGATCGTCAGATAATAGCGAGACAGCTAGATACACTTCCCTCATAGTTTAGAATATGTCATGATCTTCTCTATAAATTGAAATATTTAAAGTGATGTGGGCCTTATGCATTTAGCTATAATCCAGAAAACGAACACTTTGCAAAAGTATCGATTCTTGAGTTTTTACTGTGTCAATGTTCCGTATGCTAATCAATCGTAACTATCTAATTTTAAATATTGAATATTTAGATAAAAGATCAACTTTTAAATTCTTTTACAACTATATTCGGATTCCACTTTCATATCACAAAATTAAAACAAACTAACCATGTTGATCCAATATTTGTCAAATTTTGATATTTCCAACCCATATCTCTAGCAATACGTCCAAGACGACGTGTATTAAATTCTGTTGAATATCCACCACGACCAGTAAATAATGTTTTCAATGTACTTGGTACATAATTAGCAAATTGTTTTGTTATAAAAACATCAAGATCAGTTTTAAGAATAAAATCATAGTATGAATATATTGGATAACCTTCTGCAATAATATTTACAGAATCAATATATTGATATGCTTTAAAATGGTCATACAATAAAATTGAACGTGAAATATCAACATGAAATAAATTTTTTTCACTATGATTCGTTACTAATATTTGTTGTTTAGTTACTGGATCTATGTGACGAGCGGATATACGAACATAAATAAATACTCGACATTTTGGTTGTTCTTCATCATTTAAACGTATTCGATTAATTAAACAACCAAGCTGTATAAATACGGTTGAATATTGTTCAGTAAATATGATAAAATCTGTTCGCCATTCACTGGGTTCATATTTAATCATTTCAATCCATGACCTATATAACCATCGAATTTCTGGTAAATAATTGATTTCTTGATTTGATGGATAAAAAACTAGAATAGCTCGTTGTATAGATGAAGAATTTATTGTAGATGATTGTTGTTGAATAAAATAGCTATTTGACTAAATTAAATAGAACTTACAAATGATATTTAAAAAAGTTTTTTTTTTGTTTACTTTTATTAATGGATGAATGTACGAATAATGCTCAAAACTGATATAAATACTTGTGTAAGTAATAACGATTAGAAAAAATATAATATAATAGTAACGTATATGTGATACAATTTGCAATACCATTGAACAACGAGTACCTGCAAAGAATGTTCAATAAAATAATGAAAATTTACTTGATTTGATAAAGACTTTTGGATGAGTCCATATAGGTATTTAACAGTTTTTATTTGGAAAAACTTGTCTTATCGGCTTTTATCGTGCAAATTACATAGGAAATGATAGAAGGAAAACAGCTTGAGTCAAACAATTTGTCTGACTTTTGCTTCAAATCGGGGAGCATTATAGTATTTTCTAAAAGCATCGAATAAATATACTATCAATGATATTAAGCTTTTTAGTTCATATTTTATCCATAAGTAGAGAATATCGAAACTAGTAAAAGTCTCTCAAAATTATTCTTTTTATTGAGATTTGACCCGTACATGAATGTTTCAAAATATGGAAAAATTCCGTGTTTTCAAGTATATTATATTTCGATCAAGTCTTTATAGAAAGAAGGACCATTTGAAGATTGTACTGCTTTAGATGTTATCTACTTCTGAATAAAATAAAAGTTCAAACGCTTAACATGTTTTTAATGATGCATTCATAAAACACTATACTAGAAGCTGCTCCAAATCTCTACTATGGCAGGCCAGAGTCGACAAGTTTTTTTGACTGAAGCTATTATCTGATCACTTCGCATCTAACTAGCATGATAAAAGCCAATAACAAATAATTTTTCTAGAAAACTAATTGAATACCCATGAATTAGCCTTATAAGAATTGAACTCAAAAACTTTAAAACAGTTTTATCTTGATGATACATTGAGAGAGACTCTAGAAACATTTCGTACTATTGCTATTTCTGAATACAAGTTTTATTTTGAGTCAGTCTTCTATTTGTAGATTTGAAATTGAAACAAAAACTGTTCCTATCAGTTTTCCACAGCGATAATTTTATTCGAAATAATTTTTATCAACTAACGAAAGTCTTTTCTTAAATACAAATGAAAGTTCATTTTCAATTTGTCGGTATCAATAAAGCATTTTTTTTTTCTAGTAACAAGACTATTCATATGAACTTTCACGGATATTTTATTTGAAATGTATTAATTCGATTTGACTTCCTGTGAACTAACATTTACGAATGACTAACATAAATAGGATCGATTCATGCTTCTTTTTGCAAGTGAACTAAACTAGGTCAAAGCTTATAATAAACTAACGGCTGTATTAGAGTGTCACTTTTAGATACAATTGATTGACATTCTTTTCTGAAACTGAACCGATGCCATCTCTGATAACTGATCAAAACAATCGTAGATTTCATAATCATAAAAATTTCTATTCAACTTACATAAGAATAAATGAAAAAATATTGATTTTTGTTTTTAAATTCAATGATACCACTATTAAATGTTTCATTTGTTCGAAACACTTGAAATCATCATCATTTAATTTGTTAGTCGATAACAATAGAATCAAAGAGAGGTAGAAAATCAATTATATCAGCTTAAACGCGTCTCTCACATAAATGAAAAAAAAAGACTACTAATCCTACTCTTACCTAAAGATCAATTCGATTCAAATAAGTTTTTATTTACCTAGGTGGTGTATATAATATCAAGGTCTTATGAATCATTCAACTACACACGACATCCTTGTTTGATTGATCTGTAATGAAACAGACTTGTCCATCACATTTACTTAAATAGTTTCAATAACATAGTGATATTGTACACGATTCTACTACTTATCATTAGCAAATAACAAAAAAATCTTTTGTTGATCCAAAAGAATCATTCTTATTCATTGATTATTCAGGCATAAGAATAACAATTATTGCATAATATTGACTAACACATCCATTATGAATGTACAACTTTGAGACAAATTAACGAAATTTTCAATGTATTGTATAGTTTGGTTCAGAAAATATAATAAATCGTTGATAATAAAAGAGATTAGTCGTATATTTATCAGATTATATCAAAGCTTATATTCATATTGAAAAATATTCTTATAATCATGTAAAACAGGTATTTTTGTGGCTGTTGTACTATTTAGCGTAATGTTTTTGAATCGAATGTTAATGATAATAGTAAAGTTATAGAAACAAACATAAAAAAGGAAAACGAACTATGTTTTATATATCTTGTTTATCATGGATGCTAGATGACTCGGATAATAACGGCTAAATAAAACAAATGATGTTATTTATTTAATTCTTTTCTCCACAGAAGCTATGTTGATATTTCCTATCATCCATAATGATTGCATTTGTTCATATATCTGTAGTAACCCATAATTATTACTGTAGTATTCATTATTCTGTTTTTCTTCTATTAATAAAAGATATAGAAATAACAACAATACGAAGAAAAAAAAAGTCTACCGATTGTCTATCATGAATAAGTTTTAATGGAAATTTAGAAAAATGATTATTTGTATACAACAAATGAAGGTTAAGACGAATACCTTGTTGAACACATTCTGAATTTAACATCTATTGTTGATAGATCGATCAAGAAGATCGACAACAATTTTAATTCGAATTTGGTTTTGACTAATTAAATTTTGATGATAGAGAAGCAAAACAACATTAATGCCTTTTAATTAAAAATAAAATTTGTAGTTTTTGAATTAATTTTTCATTTCAATACGATTGAATTCATATAGAAAACAAGCACAAGAAAATTGTTTTCATGAATTAAAACCAGTCAAAGGAAGTTATGAAGCGTAGGTTCATTTGCATTGATTTTTATTATAATTTACGTTTTTGAAAACTTTGTTTTTCTTGTACAATTTCTTTCCATTAGATATTTATAAATATGACTGAAAAAATAATGAAAATATCACAAAACTCCAGTACGAATACCCACCACCATCAATTAAAAGAGTACAGTTTTGTGATATATATTTTTTAAAATGATGATGAATAAAAACATTTAAACACAATTCTCCTATTTTTTTTTTACATTTCAACATTTAATAAATTAATTTTTTTAACAAATATCATACATTTTAAACGTATTATAACGTTCATATATATTCTATTAATTGAATCAATATATGCATATGTTTGAAGAATAGTATATAATAATTCTGCAAGTTTTTAGCATCATATGTTTCGTGATCATTTATTTTGAGTATAGTAATCATTTCTTCTCGAGTTTCATAATAAGTTTTTGCTAAATTCTTTGAATGATCAAATGTATGTTGAAAATTATTATTAGTGTCACTTTTTGTTCGATATTGAATAGGAACATCGAGAATAAGATGACATACAGATAGTTCTTTTTTTATTTTGAGGAATATGACTAATATATCTCAGACTTCCAAATTCGATTGAAAAATTACCAGATGACCAATAATGAATGGCCGCACTTTGCATTTCATATTTTCATCTCTAAATAAGTATCATCAAAAAACAAAATATATCATAAGATGCAGCGTGAAAAATTCCACGGTTTACATAAGATTGCTTTTCCTACAGTTGCACTTTTTTTTACTTTCAAAATCAGCGAAATTCGGAACGATCAAATTTCGACCATCCGAAAATTGATCGTAGAGAATTTTGCTGTTTTTGAAAATAATTACCATAAACTCTTTAGTATGTAAATTGTAGAGCTTTTCACGCTGCATCTTGTAATATATTTTGGTTTTTTTGATTATGCTTATTTAGAGATGAAAATATGAAATGCAAAGTGCGATGATTCATTATTGATCACCCGGTATATGTAAATGTAAGAAAATCTGTGCGCCATGTTAGTAGTTGATCATGTAATACCTCAGCCCAGCAGCAATACAGCGTAAATAAAAAGGTAAAGAATGCGAATTTATTCATTATAATCAAAATGATTTTTTTTTCTGTACAAATTTTCGTCATCTGATATGGTTCTATACATACCATCTAACGTATGAAAAAAAATATTGTTTTTTAACGATGTAGGTAATAAATAATAACTACGCAGTATACAGGGGAATCGTTTTCAACTTGTTTACATGAGAGTCATGATTGTGTAGTTTGAATACTAATAGTCATTTCAAAAAAAGAAAAATTATGAGTATTTTTACAATAACTTTTGATAGGAACTAGACAGAGAGTTACAATTTTCACTGCTTAAAAGAAGAGATGAAATTACATCAAATGACATGTACCAAAATTTTTTGACAAGTTTGCTCAGAGGGCGGGTGTGGATGTGGGTGTTATTGTGCGTCTAGCGTGGGTATGGATACTATTCCACTCGATATCTACACCCATACCCTCACCCAGATACGTCAGTCTTACTCACTATGGTGAGCTGAAGGCTACATTACAGTAGAAAAAATTTTTATTCAACATAGAATAAGTAAATGAAAAAAAAATCAGTCCTTCTATTACACAGTCGATATGTATGATGGAAGAACATGAATAAACACAAGTTCACGAGCAGTAGTCGATTGTCTTTCAACCTTATCAACACAAAAACGAACACCTGGTCTTAGAAGTATTTCATCTTCAGTTTCGAAAACTGATATACTTGATATATCGGCGAATTGATCATTCCATCTGTAACGACCAAGATCGATTTCGTAAAGAACATTTTTGATGAATTTGCTAGCCATATTTACGTTTGTTGATGTTGATACAAAACATAACCATTTGAAGCATTTCTTCTTATTTCCAGCTGCTTGACGATATTCATCAAGTTTCTTTGCCGATACCTTATCTCCACGATAAACTACCATAGGATTCGTTTTTTTTAAATGGAGTGTTTGATATAAACGGCCCAGTTTTGATGCATTTTCAGTTGATTGTCTACTGATATAGTCATAGACGAGAAAACAGTAAGGTCCCATTGTCTCCACTTTAGTCAGATCATTTTCGCGAAGAGCTTCATTGACTTTGCGGTAAAGAAAAGTGTTGCGGGTGTACAGACTTACACATGTTTTTCTCAATATTTCCATACGTTTTCGGTTGCTATAAATGGAACTATCGTTAGAGACTCCTCGAAGCTCTTCAATTATTTCTTGCAACTTGGGCTCCCCTTGCATCTGTCCTTCTTTTTGAATACCTTCTATTAAGAGGTTGAAAATCCGATCGAATTGCACCTTCAATGGACTTTGAAATATTTCTACGAGCCAATGCATGATGAAACAAGACCCTTGATAATGTGTATCTTCGGTGACACTATCTGATTCAAGAGGAAAATCGAGTCGATCTTCCATTCTGAATATTTCATCATAGTTGGATTCGGTGTTAACGATTGCTTGATCGTTCACTCGACATTGCCGTCGAATAGGACGTTGCCGAGATGAATCGATACTGTGTATTTGTAGTTTATGTTGAAAATCGATTCGATACCCAGTTCTAATACTTATCTCACGAAAGCCATTGTGATAAGCACATTCCATCTGATCACAGATGTCAGCTGGATAGTCTGTCCACTCTTCGGTCTCATTTGGATTAAAAGGATTTGCATTCGTTTGGCATGCCCAAATAGCAGAACTAGCTGTTAACGATGTATTCATCGGCATTGATTCACACAAACGAGGTTGAACAAAGAATTTCAATCGCTCTTTTTGCAGAAACAAACATAATTCATCTACAAAGATTGAAGCACTGTATGTTTCAACCGAGTTCTATCAACGAACGTTATACATATGCATGGAAATATTGACTATCTACTAGTTGTCTTTCTTCATTTGTCGATCTCGTGAGACGACTGTTCATTCTAGATTTCAACGTTAGATAATGTATGATCTAGTAGAAGGAAAATCTGTCTTATTATTCGTTTCTCTGTTTTATACTAATCGATTACTACTAGTGATCAGTTAGCGAATACTTAGGTTGAACAATGAAGGTATACAAATCGAGTTTTGACGTACAATGATCTTGTTAATTCGATAACAAATATTGATACATGTTTAAAAAAAGACATACTAGATAGTTGTCAAGATGTACTGGGACAAGAAAAATGAAGCTTCTCTTTTTATCCCAACTGATGAAGATTTCTCAACGAGCCAAAAATAATTACTCGATGAAGTAGTAAAGTAAAAT